TTTAATATTCACTGAACAATGTCACAGCAGTTAAGGTGCAAAAATCCAACTAATCATGATGTTCCAGGCTCATCTTCATCAAAAAGTCTGTAGTTTGAGATTCAATGGACAAAGACAAAAAACAATCCACATTTTTACTGATAAATATATATATGTGTTGAACAAAAACATGCAGATAGTAATGGTCTCAACACGCTACAAAAGTTAAAAGGCAAATAGGAGGTAAAAGAAAAAAGGTTAAACCAGTGAAATTCGATGAGTTTGAGGTTTGTGTACTGTATATTAGCAATAAATGGAAGATCTAAAGCAGGGGCCAAAGAAAAAAGGTTAAACCAGTGAAATTTGATGAGTTTGAGGTTTGTGTATATTAGCAATAAACCCTATATGTATTCATCAGAGGGTTGAAGTTTTCTGGACAGATACTCAGAGGTCCTGACACTAGAATGAAATATGAATCACATTCTTTCAAATAGAGTCATAGTTGGTGGAGATTACAGATATTTATTTATGTCTCAGTTGTTCTCTTTTTTAGTTGCTTTAACAGCAGAGGCCACATGATCCCTCTTTGATCTGCACAATCTTGGAAGGAGTTATGCGAGCTCAATGAGTGATTTTTAAGACAATGACTTTGATTACAGTCCGGCAAATATTAAAAGCAAAAAAGAGAGAGATTAAAAACAAAAACCAAGATGTCTGTAAGAAGTCACTACATGCAACGGAAGAAAAAGCCCAGCTGAAAACAATTCTCCGGCAATTGAAAATGTACAAATAAAAGACTTGACACAGACACAGAGATACACTTTCTAGTTTGAAAATTACTTTAAAATGACACAATAAAGTCGATCAGTAAAAACAGTGAGAGTCCTTCTTTGACATTTGTTTGGTAAATACAATTTTAGGTTTCCTGTCATTTTTCATTTAAATCATTCTTTGTTATGTTCAGCCTGTCCTTTTCCCACAATGTTATGTTTTAGGGAGAGCATTCAATGGCTTTAAATGCAAAATTCTATATGTTTTTAGCAAATGTAAGTTTATTTACTAGCAGAAGAAAGGCGCGAGGCCTTGAGCATTTTACTGTTGTTGAAAATCAGTCTCAACATATACAAGAAGAGCATAATGGATCCCAGCGAGGAAAAGAGGAGAAATGACAACACAATAAAGAATGGTGAACCTGGGCTCCAAAACCAGCGTTCAGGCTGATGTGTGACAATATCAACAAGGCAATGGATGTTTTGTGGCATTGAAAAGACTAAAGATGTGGTGAATTAAGGCAGGTCATGTCCTCTCTGTCCATTACCCTGGAAGAAAAACACTTAGACCCAAGGCTGGCTTAAAAAGGCTTTCATTCTGCCTTTTTGTTCAATGCAAGGATGTAAAAAGGAAAAGTCTGAATATTTTTCTAGCTCAAAGAAGCAGAGGAGAAAAAAACGTTTCATCTATAATTGAAGTCCGCCATGTACAATTCATTAGCACTCTGCAAGACTATTATTTCATTAGAGGAGATGTCACACTGTTGACAGCGCCAAACCAAAAAAAAAAAAAAAATCCAACACAGCAATCTCTGGATGGAAAAGCTCAAATTTTCACACAAACACAAATCAGGAATGGAATCAAACAGATTCAGACGAGGTGAAATGATAAAAACACTGCTTTTGAAGTGTGTCATTAGGAAGCAATTTTCTTGTTTATCAATCTCAGCACTGAGCTGAGTGGAATATTAAGGATTAACAAAAAATATATAATATATGGCAAAACATTTTTGTTTTCATCTGTGTGTTTATATTGAAAGTGTGAAATCATCAGGTACACCTTTATTGGAAGCACAAGGTAAATTTTGTTTATATTAAAGTACAACTAGCTTTTCATCTGACTCTTTTGTAGTTTTGCAATCCTTTTCTGCAATTTTTAAAAAAGCAGTAAATATCACTGGAAAGTCTGATTTGCTTTCAAAAATTAATTGTTTAAATCAAATAAATAAAACAGGTCTGATAAATAAGGGCCAATTCAACACAACTGTAATTATTGCTCTGTGCCACTCCTTGTTCATCTTTCCCTTTGTTGTGTAGCACAACCTGTTTTCAGCCTCATTTGTGAGAAGGTTGTTGCAAAATCTGACGCTGCTAAAGGTAAGGCAGATTTTCTTAGAGAGACAAGATGCTCCACATTTCAATGGCGTACAGATGTTAGTTTAGGTTCATGCCACAGTCTCGCATCAGGACAATTGTTTAATATCAAAAATACTTTCATCTACTGCTTATAACATATTCAAAATATTTCTAAAACATTTCCAAATTTCAACTCCCAAGTAAATGAGGATTCCATGTAAATCCTCATGCAGCCGACAAACACTCAGTGACCCCCGTGGCCTCTCTGGAGCTTAGTGTTTCTCAGGTTCTGTGATCTGGACAAAGGCTCATGTTGAGGGTCTCACTACCTCTCATCCCAACAACCACTGCTTCAACATTGTCATTACACAGCTGTTGTATGTCTTGTAGAATACAGGAGGGAGTCGGGGACGCACACATGGATACACTGACCACAGTTCTGTCTGTCCTCCATTTTGGGGGAGCAGGGCAGAGGGGTGGATTAATGAAGAATAAATTGACAGATTATCGTGGTTTCACTGCATATGTTGCACAGTTTGTCTGTTGCCACAGAAGTCTAACAGCTATTTGTTCAGTGGCCATCTGTGAACTGTGGTCACTGTCTGCAGCTGCACATGTGCTGCACTTCCCCAGGGGTCTGTTGTTCCAGCATCTGCAGAAGTGAATAAATCCAAACATGCAGGTGGGGAACAGCCACCCAGTACATGAGCTCAGCAGAGAAATATAGAACATTCTCCACACATGGACGTATGTAGCTATCTTGTTGCAAATGTGAAGCCAGTGAAAGTTCGTTAAAATCACCCCACCTTCATACAAAGTTAACTCTGTCTTTGACCAATATTAACATAGACATAGTCTTAACCTGTTATTTAGATTGTTGTGTCTAACCAGCAGTATTTATCTTCGTGTTTGTCACCTCCTGTCTGGTCCCTTTGAGGACTTACATTTACTCAGCTCACACCTACAGTCAGTAATCAATATCTGCTAATAATTATAACGTCTCCTCCTTTAAGGTACATTCTTAGCTTTAGCTGGAAAATCTCATTTTTGTTCACAGGAGCGTCACAAACTCCTGAGTTGCCAAAGCAGGTGTGGCTTCAATGATATGCACTCAAGAAGAAAAACAGCTGCAGATGTTATGAGATTAACTAATGACTGTGTGCAGTAAACAAATCTGTATGTGCTCTTATGCACAAACTCAAAGACAACATCGCTGTGGAGCTGCTCATCAGATTCAAGGCATTTTGGAAATCCATGGCATTCGACTGTTCTCAGTATGGTAGGACAAAGAAGGAATCAACGTACATCTCTCTCTCTCTCTCTCTCTCTCTCTCACACACACACACACACATAAAAACAATGCAGAAAGAAAACAAACAATCTTGATATTTCTCCTTTGAGACTTAATACACCAAGAAAATGAAAGTAAGTACCAGCAGCCCCTATCAATTAGAGCAAACCCAGGCCAAGAAACCATCATGATTGCATTGCACTTCACTCCACTCTGCCTCTTCCTCTCTGCCCCGCTCTGTCAGACACACACTCAGACACACACACAAAGACGAAGGGCGCCCTTCTTTCCTGTTAACATACAAGTGAATAACAATCTGGAGGTTCATTAGTAATATATACAGAAGTTCAGGAGTTCAGCAGTGCGACACGGTCCTCTGATCTCTTGTAAATTGAGACAGTGAAAATGAAAAAAGTATTTCCTGTTCCTGAGCAGCAGGTCAAAGAATATTCTCCAGCGACAGACCAAGTGGCGTTAGCACGAAGGCTTGTGTTAACATGTCTGAGCTTCAGCGTGACATCAGAAGGAGAAGAC